TTTATCTGGTTAAATGTTTTCCCCTTTCTCAAATCGAGCCGATCTCAGATGCCTGTCTGTGTGACGTCACACAGACAGACATCTGATGTACGCTGTACATCAAGACGTCACGTCTCTCTGAAAACAACAGGTGCGTTCGAAGAACCGAATTAGCCAGATCCTGATTAGCGCGATGATATCATCTTGGATGTGACATTTCATCTCGGATGTAATAAGCGACGTACGAAGAACGGGCCCCTGACCTGTAACTTTTCAAGTGATCGTGACCTTGATTAGCTGACTCAGGTGTGTTTAATTAGGGTTGGAGCTGAACTCTGCAGGACAGTGGGTCCTCAGGAGCAGGGTTGAAGACCTATGAATTATATTGTGCACTGATAGATTAATCAAATGAATTGCAAATAATCGTATATGTCAATATTTGGAAAAAGCCCTGAAATGAAGATCATTTGTATTCATAGAACGTTGTGGCAAACAAGTAACCATTGAATAGTGCTAACCTTTGCATTTTTTATGTCTGTTTATTTTTCTAGCACATTAGTTATTTAAAATATTTAAGTATAAAAAAACTGTGAGTAGTATTTCAAAAAGTAATTCACATTGCAAGAGTGTTGTGGGTGGTTGCCAATGTGCTGTCATGCAGTTGCTAAGATGTTCTGGGTGGTTGCTAGGTGGTTTCTAGAGTGTTCTGTGTGGTTCTATTCTTGTCCTTATACATGGTTCCAATCTCTCCTTTAATGTAAAGGTGCAGACACTTGTTCTGTTGTTCAGCGAACTTTCACGGGCAAAATCCAGTCATTTCAATAGGAATACACACAATCGGGAATTTTCTGTGAGAGCAAAAGATTTCCCCTCACAGATTTTGCAATGTGTTCAAGTTGGTCAAGCAAAGTTGCCCCACTGACCAACAAAAAGCTGCTTTGTTTGAAAGTTAGCTGTAGATTAAGGCATTATATGACATCCTGTTGTTTCCTAGGATCACTCGGACAATCCTCTGGGAGCTGCTGTGACTTTGGCCCATGAGTTGGGCCATAACTTTGGAATGAACCATGACACACCAGAGCGAGGATGCGGCTGTAGGATGACCGTAGATCGTGGTGGCTGCATCATGACCCCCTCTACAGGGTGAGTATATGCTATAGAAATGTATTGATAACTCACCAGGTTTTACCACTTGACAAATCACAAGTAAATAGTAATGTTTGAAAAAAACAAGATCTAAATAGTCTTTGATAACCTCTTCTCCTACTCCTGAGTGGAGTACCCTGTCTGGATTTGATGTATTAATGCATTGCAGACACATCACTCTACAGCTCAATTAGTCTCCAACGAGCCCTATTATCTGGGGAACGGGGAAATCAAGCTCTCATCATTCATGTACACAAGAGAATAATCAGCCGTTTACCTGAATCTTATTGACTAGGGGTTAATTAGCCGTCTCTCAGTGATGAATTTGCACTACATAGCCATACGTCACCACTGGCGTGAGGCTGGTGTTGGATTGAAACTCAGAAACTTGTAGATAGACGGAAGGCTTGCTTTGTCCACTCAGAAATTTGGATTTCAGACATTTAGCCGTCACCTGGCCTCTCGTGATAACGCGCTTGTTGGTAATGGTTTTCGGCATGCAGCTGGTCTCAGACTTGGGTAAACACCAGGTTGATAAGGTGAGGATGGCTCATAATGGAAAATTTCCTCTCCTTACACTTATCAGACGATGAACCAGAGAGTCAGGTGGGATGAGGTCTTTAGATGCGTCGGTGGAATAGAGGAACTGAGTGTGAATCTGCCATCTTTGGTTGCTTAGTTCTGTGGCCAGGTTGTTTTGAGCCAATCACCTGAGTCATAAATTTCATGTGATTAATCATTGTCACTAATGGCAGGAAAATTATAGCTGGTGGCTTTACTAGATTGTGCACAGTTGCAAACCTTTCACTAGTGAGCTGTGACATTACAGTCATTTTAATGTTTTTTTTTAAGAGCCCAAAATGTTCAAGAACTGCTAAAAATAATGAAATATTTGTGATTTGTATTTTGCTTACAAAACAATTTATTCAAATATACAGTGTATTATGTCTCACATCTACCAGGCGCTAAGCAGCAAAACCTTGACACCTTGGTATAATGAAACTGATTCACTGGCAAATCAGATGCATTTTTATCAGTAACGTTTCTAGGCATGGCAAACTAGGCAGTCGCCTAGGGCGCCACCAGCAGGAGGGGGTGCCAATGAGCGCACGTACTGGCACTACATTTTAGCAGGGTTGTGATAAAGAATGGCACGGCCAACCAGAAATATGATTGACACCCCCACTGGATCCCCCAACATCATTGGGCTAGAGTACTGTCAATCTGACAATGCCTGTATGTGTCAGGGTTTTGCCCTGACACTCTGTTTGTCTTGTGTTTGTTTCTTGTGTCGATTGCCTTGTCCAAATACCCACACTTGCAGTCTTGGCCACTTGAGAGCGCGTGCGCGCGACAGGAAGTAAGTGCGCAAGACTGTCCCAGGTCTTAAAAACGGCAAAGCGCAGTGCCCTTAACACACACTAAATCCACACTATCTCGAATACCGCTCCGGAGCGCTATTCGAGGCTTAGTGTATCCCATCATGCATCATGTTCTGGAAATAAATCGTGAGACTTTTTGCCGAGATCTCGCGAGAGGTCACGGAAACCTTTCCAATGCAAGTTTGTCATGTTATAGGGACTACTGAACAGACATTTAGAAGTTGATTTTAAAATGCAAAGTATTTAAAATTAAAATTAAAATAAAGCTATGTAAACACTTGCATTTTTACAACACTATAAGTGTGTCCCATCAGGTAACGAAAAGTTCGACACACACTTGTGGTCTTCATCCTCACTTGAACACTTGGGCCAAATACAGGAAATACGTCATATAAGTGTTCAAGTGGTCAAGTGCAAAGACCGCAAGTGTGGGTATTTGGACAAGGCATATGTTGTCTTGTGTCAGCACACTTGATTGTTTTTCTCAGCCATGTGGTTCTCTAGCCCCTCCTCCTGGTTTCCTCATTACCACACCCTCTTGTTAGCCCTCGTTGAGTCCTTGTTAGTGTAATTGCTCTCACATGTTCCTCGTGTGTTTTCCTCCCTATTTATAGTGCCCCTTGCCCTATTGTCTTTGCCGGTTCGTGGTCATTTTCACCCCTTCTATCACTGTCTTTTTCTCTGTCTGTGGATGTGGCTGAGGGTGTGTTCTTGTCTCCCTGGTTGGTCTTGTGCCCTTGTCTTGTCTATTACTTTGTAGTTCCATGTTCTTATCTTGCTCCTTGTTTTTGCATTTTGTCTGTTTTTGCCTTTTGTCACTTTATTTATTTATTTATCCAGTTCTTCTAGTCCTGATCTTTTGTTTTGCATTTTTGTTTGATATTCTTTAAGTTAGTTGTGTTGGTTAGATTTGGTAATTATTTCTTATTTAGTTACTTTACTTTTTATCAGTTCTTTTGTTTTATTTATTCCCCTGCCTGTTTTGGAGTAATTATGTTACTGTGGAGCTTTATCCGGTCTTGTTTCTTTGTGTAAGAGTTCCCATCCTGACCTGTGCCTGTGAGGCCACTGGTTCTCCCTGCCTGGTACTTAGTCCGCTTTAGAGTCGGCGTTCAACAAGTATCTGAGTTCAGCTCTATGGTACCTTGCTTGGCCCTCTCTATCTGCCTGGTCTTGCTGCTCCTTCTGCTGCTATTGTAATCTGCCAGTTGCTCTCCGAGACCATTCCAGTGGTCTTCCCTAGCTGTTTCTTTGTTTACTGTGTTCCTGATGTTGTATCACCTGTGCACCTCACAACCCTCTTGTATCAGTCTGTTTTGTCAATAAATCCTCATCACTCAATCTGCTAATGGGTCCTCCTTCCAGATCCCTGACAGTATGCCATTGGATCTGAGCACTGTCAATTGCTGCCGGATTGTTGCATGCAAAGTTTGCATTTTGAGCGCTCAACAACAATCAATCAATCAACATTTATTTATATAGCACATTTAAAACAACACCAGTTGACCAAAGTGTTTTAAATGTCTAAAAATTACTCAAACAAACACAATACACACAATATCCATCACTGCTCAGTTACCCAAAAGCTAGGGCCAACCGTATGCCACAGAGTAAAGGTGTGTTTTCAACATTGATTTAAAACAGTCAAATGAGTCACATGATCTAATGTGCAATGGGAGACTATTCCAAAGACGTGGGGCTGCCACAGAGAAGGCTCGATCACCTTTGGTTTTCAACCGTGATCTGGGAACATGTAAAAGCAGACTCTGTGATCTTAGAGGTCTAGCAACACAGTGCTGCTGTAACAGACATGAAATGTACTCTGAAACAAGGCCATGCAAACCTTTAAAAACCATTATCAAAACTTTATATTGGACTCTAAAATCAACAGGAAGCCATTGCAGCGAAGCCAGCATTGGAGAAATGTTGGACCATTTCCTTGTGCCAGTCAACAGTCTAGCTGCAGCATTTTGTACTAGCTGCAGCCGTGAGAGCAGATTCTTAGACAACCCTAAATATAATGAGGTGCAATAATCCAATCTGGATGAAATAAAAGCATGAATCACAGTTTCCATGTCCTCAAAAGACAGAATTCTCTTCAATTTAGCAATAATTCGCAATTGATAGAAGCTACTTTTAACAACAGCACTGACCAGCACCATTAGATCTATGGGTTCTGTTAGTGCTTTGGCAAAGTAACATGTTTTTTTTGTTGTTGTTGTTTTTAGCCTTGCAATAAAGCTAAGTTCAAAGACCAATTTAAAATATTGGTACAGTAAAAAAGTGCACAAAATGAGTATTTTGTTAAGGCAGGATTTGTGGCAGTCGAGAAATCACGCTGCAAAATTGGTCCAAAAGGTGTGCTTTTTTGTGCCAATGCATTGTTAAAGGATCAGCGTGGTGTGTGTAATATTCACATATAAAAATTTAACGGCCAATTAAAAAAGTATTGGCATAGTAAAATTCGCTAAATCACAAGATCAATACATCCTATATATTAAACCGCTTTGTTGAATTTAGTGCATCCTTAAGGAAATGTTGAAATGCTGAATGAATTAATTCACTACTAACAGCACTTAATGGAAGCAGCGTCATACACATAGAGAGCAGAGCGTCACGTCATTTAAAGGGGAAGTTCATGCGTCAATGAGTAACAAAGGAATTAGTAGCTGGAGTCTGATTATTTTATGTGACTGATCAAGCTTTTTTATGTAGTTTGGGGTAACAAAGTTTTTTATAGGTTTGACTGAAATAATAATGAAAAATGGACGCTTTAAATCAACATTTCAAACAACAAAAAAACAATTTAAAAAAACCCACAAAGACAAAAAGTAGTCATCGATAATAACTAAACATGTATCCAAATCCAAATGTAATAAAATGTATTGGGGTGGATGGGCGCCAATTTGGATTTCTCCTAGGGTGTCAAAATGGCTAAAAACTTTGGTTTAGATTTTTTAATGTTTTAGAAGTCTTTTATGCTCAGGAATATATTAAAAAATTTAATTTATTCCTGTGATGCAAAGAATTTTCAGCATTCATTACTCCAGTCTTCAGTGTCACATGATTCCTCAGAAATCACTCTATTATGCTGATTTGATGCTCAAGAAACATTTCTTATTATTTCTTATTATTATGTTGAAAACTGTTCAGTTGTTATGCTTATATTTTTGTTTAAACCAATATATATATTTTCAGGATTCGTTGATGAATAGAAAGTTCAAAAGAACAGCATTTATTTGAAATAAAAATATTTTGGTATATTATAAATGTCTTTTACTGCCATGTTCAATCAATGTAAAGTCTCTCTGCTAAATAAACATTAATTTAAAAAAAACACACTTTTGAACAGTAGTAAACACTTGTCACGGAGTCAACAGCCACAGCCACGCCAGATCCTTCGGCCCCTCCCACTCATCCACAATCACCCAAATACTGAAGCACTCCACCTGTCGTCACTAATTAGGACTGGTATAAAGCCACCATCTCATCACTCCTTCAGTGTCTGGTCTTGTTGTTCACATGTGTGCATCAGCTTACCTGGCTCCTCTCGTTGAATACTTATCTCGCCGGGTCCATCTTCACCTGCTCAAGCTAAGTTATACTCAGAACTTC